AGGGCCAGGGTCTGCTAGCTACAGTAGAGTATTCTGCAGAGTATGTTAGCTACAGTAGAGGCTCCATTGAAAGCAGCTGTTTCCAGGCTGTAGCGTTGGCCACATGGCTCTGTCATCTATCTGTTTGGGGGCAGTACTGCAGGCCCGGGATGAGGCTGCTGAACATCAGTGTCCTGTATTTGTCTCTGTCATTGTGTAGAGGAGGACCGAGCTTCCACCTCCACATCCTCATCCTCAGCAGCAGCAGCAGGGTAAAAAGTTCCACCGCACGCTGCCCAAAGACCAGACGCAGCTGCTTTCACTTCAGCACAACCACAGGCACAAACAGAGGGAAACCCACAAGGCTGCTAGTGACACGCATAACTGCCACGCAAATAGCAAGCGCAAAGTGGTAAAGTCCTCTGACCCCCCCCCCCCCCCCCCCCCCCCCCCTTGTCCCACTCACCCTGTCTCACCCAGCCCCCCTCCCTGCTACCACGCACTATCCCACTGCCCTGTCTCTCTGTCTGTCCCACTGACCCTGTCTGTCTCTCTCTCTGTCCCACTGCCCTGTCTCTCTGTCTTTCTCACTGTCCCTGTCTGTCTCTCTGTCCCACTGCCCCTGTCTGTCTCTCTGTCTGTCCCACTTCCCTGTCTGTCTCTCTGTCTATCCCACTGGCCCTGTCTGTCTCTGACTGTCCCACGGACCCTGTCTGTCTCTTTGTCTGTCTCTCTGTCTGTCCCACTGGCCCGGTCTGTCTCTTTGTCTGTCTCTCTGTCTGTCCCACTTCCCCTGTCTGTCTCTTTTTTATCTTTCCCACTGCCCCTGTCTCTCTCTCTGTCTGTCCCACTGCCCTGTCTGTCTCTCTGTCTGACCCACTGCCCTGACTGTCTCTCTCTCTGTCCCACTGCCCCTGTCTCTCTCTCTGTCTGTCCCACTGCCTCTGTCTGTCTCTTTGTCTGTTTCTCTGTCTGTCCCACTGCCCTGTATGTCTCTTTGTCTCTCTGTCTGTCCCACTTCTGTGTATGTCTCTCTGTCTGTCCCACTTCCTTGTCTGTCCCACTGCCTTGTCTGTCTCTCTGTCTGTCCCACTGCCCCTGTCTGTCTCTCTGTCTGCCCCACTGCCCTCTCTGTCTCTCTGTCTGTCCCAATGCCCCAGTCTGTCCTCTGTCTGTCCCACTGTCCCTATCTGTCTCTTTGTATGTTCCATTGCCCCTGCCTGTTTCTTTGTCTGTCTCTCTGTCTGTCCCACTTCCCTGTCTGGATCTCTGTCTGTCCCACTTCCCTGTCTGTCTCCCTGTCTGTCCCATTGCCCCTGTCTGTCCCAGTGTCTTGTCTGTCTCTCTGTCTGTCCCACTTCCCCTATATGTCTCTTTGTCTGTCTCTCTGTCTGTCCCACTACCCCTGTCTGTCTCTGTCTGTCCCACTACCCCTGTCTGTCTCTCTGTCTGTCCCACTTCCCCTGTCTGTCTCTCTGTCTGTCCCACTTCCCCTGTCTGTCTCTATGTCTGTCCCACTGTCCATGTCTGTCTCTATGTCTGTCCCTCTTTCCTGTCTGTCTCTCTTTCTGTCCCACTGCCCCTGTCTGTCTCTATGTCTGTCCCAATGACCCAGTCTGTCCTCTGTCTGTCCCACTGTCCCTATCTGTCTCTTTGTATGTTCCATTGCCCCTGCCTGTTTCTTTGTCTGTCTCTCTGTCTGTCCCACTTCCCTGTCTGGATCTCTGTCTGTCCCACTTCCCTGTCTGTCTCCCTGTCTGTCCCATTGCCCCTGTCTGTCCCAGTGCCTTGTCTGTCTCTCTGTCTGTCCCACTTCCCCTATATGTCTCTTTGTCTGTCTCTCTGTCTGTCCCACTACCCCTGTCTGTCTCTGTCTGTCCCACTACCCCTGTCTGTCTCTCTGTCTGTCCCACTTCCCCTGTCTGTCTCTCTGTCTGTCCCACTACCCCTGTCTGTCTCTATGTCTGTCCCACTGTCCATGTCTGTCTCTATGTCTGTCCCTCTTTCCTGTCTGTCTCTCTTTCTGTCCCACTGCCCCTGTCTGTCTCTATGTCTGTCCCAATGACCCTGTCTGTCTCTGTCTGTCCCACCTCCATGTCTGTCTCTCTGTCTGTCCCACTGTCCCTGTCTCTCCCACTACCCCTGTCTGTCTCTTTGTCTGTCTCTCTGTCTGTCCCACTGCCCCTGTCTGTCTCTTTGTCTGTCCAACCTCCATGTCTGTCTCTCTGTCTGTCCCACTGCTCCCTCTCTGTCTCACTCTCTGTCCCACTGCTCCTGTCTGTCCCACTTCCCTGTCTGTCTCTTTGTCTGTCTGTCTTTCTGTCTGTCCCATTGCCCCTGTCTGTCCCAGTGCCTTGTCTGTCTCCCTGTCTGTCCCACTTCCCCTATATGTCTCTCTTTCTGTCCCACTGCCTTTGTCTGTCTCTCTGTCTGCCCCACTTCCCTGTCTGTCTCTCTGTCTGTCCCACTGCCCGTCTGTCACTATGTCTGTCCCACTGCCCCTGTCTGTCTCTCTGTCTGCCCCACTTCCCTGTCTGTCTCTCTGTCTGTCCCACTGCCCCAGTCTGTCTCTCTGTCTGTCCCACTGTCCCTATCTGTCTCTTTGTATGTTCCATTGCCCCTGCCTGTTTCTTTGTCTGTCTCTCTGTCTGTCCCACTTCCCTGTCTGTCTCTCTGTCTGACACACTGCCCTGTCTGTCTCTCTGTCTGTCCCACTACCCCTGTTTATCTCTCTGTCTGTCCCACTGCCCTATCTGTCTCTCTGTCTGTCCCACTGCCCTGTCTGTCTCTCTGTCTGTCCCACTGCCCCTGTCTGTCCCACTGCCCTATCTGTCTCTCTGTCTGTCCCACTGCCCTATCTGTCTCTCTGTCTGTCCTACTGCCCTGTCTGTCTCTCATTCTGTCCCACTGCCCCTGTTTGTCTCTTTGTCTGTCCAACTGCCATGTCTGTCTCTGTCTGTCCCACTACCCCTGTCTGTCTCTATGTCTGTCCCACTGTCCATGTCTGTCTCTATGTCTGTCCCAATGACCCTGTCTGTCTCTGTCTGTCCCACCTCCATGTCTGTCTCTCTGTCTGTCCCTGTCTCTCCCACTCCCCCTGTCTGTCTCTTTGTCTGTCTCTCTGTCTGTCCCACTGCTCCTGTCTGTCTCTCCGTCTGTTCCACCGCCATGTCTGTCTCTCTGTCTGTCCCACTGCCCCCTATCTGTCTCACTCTCTGTCCCACTGTCCCTGTCTGTCCCACTTCCCTGTCTGTCTCTTTGTCTGTCTGTCTCTCTGTCTGTCCCACTGTCCCTGTCTCTCCCACTACCCCTGTCTATCTCTTTGTCTGTCTCTCTGTCTGTCCCACTGCCCCTGTCTGTCTCTCCGTCTGTTCCACCTCCATGTCTGTCTCTCTGTCTGTCCCACTGCCCCCTATCTGTCTCACTCTCTGTCCCACCTTCCCTGTCTGTCCCACTTCCCTGTCTGTCTCTTTGTCTGTCTGTCTCTCTGTCTGTCCCATTGCCCCTGTCTGTCCCAGTGCCTTGTCTGTCTCTCTGTCTGTCCCACTTCCCCTATATGTCTCTCTGTCTGTCCCACTTCCCGGTCTGTCTCTCTGTCTGTCCCACTGCCCGTCTGTCACTATGTCTGCCCCATTGCCCCTGTCTGTCTCTATGTCTGTCCCACTGGCCATGTCTGTCTCTATGTCTGTCCCACTTCCCCTGTCTGTCTCTCTGTCTGTCCCACTGCCCCTGTCTGTCTCTCTGTCTGTTCCACCTCCATGTCTGTCTCTGTCTTTCCCACTGCCCCTATCTGTCTCTTTGTCTGTCCAACTTCCATGTCTGTCTCTCTGTCTGTCCCACTGCCCCTCTCTGTCTCACTCTCTGTCCCACTGACCCTGTCTGTCCCACTTCCCTGTCTGTCTCATTGTCTGTCTGTCTCTCGGTCTGTCCCATTGCCCCTGTCTGTCCCAGTGCCTTGTCTGTCTCTCTGTCTGTCCCACTTCCCCTGTCTGTCTCTATGTCTGTCCCACTGCTGATGTCTGTCTCTGTCTGTCCCACCTCCATGTCTGTCTCTCTTTCTGTCCCACTTCCCTGTCTGTCTCTCTGTCTGTCCCACTGCCCATCTGTCACTATGTCTGCCCCTGTCTGTCTCTGTCTGTCCCACTGCCGATGTCTGTCTCTCTGTCTGTCCCACTGCCCCTGTCTGTCTCTCTGTCTGTTCCACTTCCCTGTCTGTCTCTCTGTCTGTCCCACTACCCATGTCTGTCTCTCTGTCTGTCCCACTGCCCTATCTGTCTCTCTGTCTGTCCCACTGCCCTGTCTGTCTCTCATTCTGTCCCACTGCCCCTGTTTGTCTCTTTGTCTGTCCAACTGCCATGTCTGTCTCTATGTCTGTCCCACTGCCCCTGTCTGTCTCTTTGTCTGTCCAACCTCCATGTCTGTATCTCTGTCTGTCCCACTTCCCCTGTCTGTCTCTTTGTCTGTCCAACTTCCATGTCTGTCTCTCTGTCTGTCCCACTGCCCTCTCTCTGTCTCACTCTCTGTCCCACTGCCCCTGTCTGTCCCACTTCCCTGTCTGTCTCTTTGTCTGTCTGTCTCTCTGTCTGTCCCATTGCCCCTGTCTGTCCCAGTGCCTTGTCTGTCCCACTTCCCCTATATGTCTCTCTTTCTGTCCCACTGCCTTTGTCTGTCTCTCTGTCTGTCCCACTACCCTGTCTGTCTCTTTGTCTGTCTCTCTGTCTGTCCCACTGCCCCTGTCTGTCTTTCTGTCTGTCCCACTGCTCCTGTTTCTTTGTCTGTCTCTCTGTCTGTCCCACTGCCCATCTGTCACTATGTCTGCCCCACTGCCCCTGTCTGTCTCTATGTCTGTCCCACTTCCCTGTCTGTCTCTATGTCTGTCCCACTGCTCTGTCTGTCTCTCTGTCAGAGAGATTGCATACCTTTTGGGGTTATTAGTTATATTTGATATTCCAGTATGCTTTAATACGGTCTGCCTCCAGTTTCCAGGGGTCTGGTTCTGACTGCTCTTCCATGTTGCTCAGATGGAGATGGACAGGGGGAAGGTCTCTGACCGCTATCAGGCCAACCTGAACAGAGTGCTGACTGGGACGCCCCTCCCCCTACACCCCATCCCTCTCCCCCTGCATGTCCATACCAGACTGAGCTCTGGGAGCAGCTCCAGCCCCTGTACCCCTGCCATGCAGAGGGCTGCCATACAACAGGTACAGTAGCCCCACCCCCCTGCCCAAACCAGCGTACCCTAACTCCACCAATCAATCAAATCAATCAATATCTTTATTTGCCCCAATTTGGAAAAGAATTATGTAGCTTGTCGTAAACAAAATGTACTTATAGTGTACATTACATGTATTTAGGACATAACACCACAGCCATACATACTTAACATTAACACATAGTTATTTTAAACAAGCTGCCAAACAGATTCAAAGTAAAGGGTTAACACACAATTCAGAGAATAGGCATTGCCTCTCTATATCAGTCACTGTGAATTTAAGATGACAAATCTCTGTAAATGTCATTCTCTTTCTGTTTATTATGAAGTTACAAGACCTCTTGCAAGACCCAATTGAACAATCAAAAGTGTGTCATGGCTTTCAAAATATATTTGGATCATTGCAACATTTAGTCCATAATGTTGTTTGATCGGTGGTTAGGCTACTAGCTGGCAAAAAGTAGGCTACATGAAAAGTGCAATAATGTTAAAGTTGCACTATGTAGAAATCGCTTCGCCATTTCCTGGTTGCTAAAACTATCATAGTTTGCCTCATTTCAGTTTATGTGACAAAATAAGCTAGTATAGTGCAGAGAGTCATTGTACCATCTAAACCGCTGTGAAAGATACAAAAGTATGTGGACACCCCTTGAAATTAGTGGATTCGGCTATTTCAGCCACACCCGTTGCTGACAGGTGTTACGTTACATCATTATTCCCCCCCCAAAAAAAAAAATCATTATTCTAATGTATTTTTATTTTTATCATCAAACCACACATTATACCCCATAATGACAAAGCGAAAACAGGTTTTTAGAAATTTTTGCAAATGTATTACAAATAAAAAACAGATACCTTATTTACAGATAAGTATTCAGACCCTTTGCTATGAGACTCGAAATTGAGCTCAGGAGCATCCTGTTTCCATTGATCAACCTTTAAATGTTTCTACAACTTCATTGGAGTCCACCTGTGGTAAATTCAATTGATTGGACATGATTTGGAAAGGCACACACCTGTCTATATAAGGTCCCACAGTTGACAGCGCATGTCAGAGCAAAAACCAAGCCATGAGGTCGAAGGAATTGTCCGTAGAGCTCCACGACAGGATTGTGTCGAGGCGCAGATCTGGGGAAGGGTACCAAAACATTTCTGCAGCCTTGAAGGTCCCCAAGAACACAGTGGCCTCCATCATTCTCAAATGGAAGAAGTTTGGAACCACCAGGACTCTTCCTAGAGCTGGTTGCTCGGCCAAACTGAGCAATAGGGTGAGAAGGGCCTTGGTCAGGGAGGTGACCAAGAACCCATTGGTCACTCTGATAGAGCTCCAGAGTTCCTCTGTGGAGATGGCAGAACCTTCCAGAAGGACAACCATCTCTGCAGCACTCCACCAATCAGGCCTTTACAGTAGAGTGGCAAGACGGAAGCCACTCCTCAGTAAAAGGCACATGACAGCCAGGTTGGAGTTTGCCAAAAGGCACCTAAAGGACCCTCATACCATGAGAAACACGATTCTCTGGTCTGATGAAACCAAGATTGAACTCTTTGCCCTGAATGCCAAGCGTCACGTCTGGAGGAAACCAGACACCGCTCATCACCTGGCCAATACCATTCCTACGGTGAAGCATGGTGGTGGCAGCATCATGCTGTGGGGATATTTTTCAGCGGCAGGGACTGGGAGACTAGACAGGATCGAGGGGAAAGATGAATGGATCAAAGTACAGAGAGATCCTTGATGAAAACCTGCTCCAGAGCGTTCAGACTGGGGCGATGGTTCACCTTCCAACAGGACAACGACCCTAAGCAGACAGCCAAGACAACGCAGGAGTGGCTTCGGAACAAGTCTCTGAATGTCTTTGAGTGGCCCAGCCAGAGCCCGGACTTGAACCCGATCTAACATCTCTGGAGAGACCTGAAAATAGCTGTGCAGCGATGCTCCCCATCCAACCTGACAGAGCTTGAGAGGATCTGCAGAGAAAAATGGGAGAAACTCCTCATACAGGTGTGCCAAGCTTGTGGCGTCATACCCAAGAAGACTCGTGGCTGTAATCGCTGCCAAAGGTGCTTCAACAAAGTACTGAGTAAAGGATCTGAATACTTTTGTAAATGTGATATTTCAGTTTTTTATTTGTAATAAATTAGCAAACATTTCTAAACCTGTTTTTGCTTTGTCATTATGGGGTATTGTGTGTAGATTGATGAGGGGAAAAAACAATTTAATACATTTTAGAATAAGGCTGTAACGTAACAAAATGTGGAAAAAGTGAAGGGGTCTGAATACTTTCCGAATGCACTGTATTTGACCGCATCTGTATAAATATTAAATGTGCCATCCCAGGCGTGTGCTCAGTGGTTGATCATATAGTTTTCCTTCCTTATACATTACCCAGAACCCAACAACCAAATATTTTTATAACTAACCCAAGATAGACCAGAGCCTGTCGTTTCCAATGGGAGCAAATTAATCATTGTGGGCAGAGCAAAGCACGAGCTAGTGAGATCCTATTGGCGCGTTCTAGCATTTATTTGCATATTTCGGTTAGGGAACGCCTACTCTGTGAAGTGCACATGTGCAATAACTCAATTCACCCTTGCACTCTTTCTAAATGCAATTTAGTAAACTGTATGGAGCTCAAATGTTTTATTCGATGAGAAAATTAGCAGAATGTCAGCCAAAATCCATCTCGCTCCATCTTCTCCCACTGCCGTCCACTGGGCTTCCTCTCATCACCATATTTGGTAATGAGTGGAAACGCCAACCGAATGCTTCACATTTGTACATCCGGTGAAATATCTGGCTCATTGTTCTATCTGTGCAACAACTACTGCTACTACTTCCTCATTCATATTCCCCATCTTGTCTGTAGTACCTACAGTACTCAGAGGCTCTCTCCCAAATAGTACCATATTCCCTTATAGTCAACTTTTAACCAGGGACCATATGGTCGAAAGTAATGCACTATGCAGGGAATAGGGTGCCACTTGGGAGGCGACCAATGTGTCACTAAATAAAGTAATCTAAACCAGAGCTGTACGTATCCAAAAATAAATGGCTTGAACTAAACTAAGTCTCCATTTCAGAATGCCAATCTTGGCTCCAGTCGAGACGCCCCTCACAGCAGCTCTATGTCTGACATGGCCACCACTCCCATGTCTCCTACGTTTGACGATGTCTTCTGGGACTTCCCAAGCTCTGTGGAGCACCCACCAAAGGTTGGTCAGACTTAATCGATCTCACGTCAGGTGTAACTAAAGGTTTTTGTCTGTCTATCTTTTCTTCCGGTTGTGTGCATGTACAACACTATATCTGTGAGGTGGATACAGTACCATACAGTATACTGTATGTGTGGTGTATATTTGGATCTGAGTGGTGTGTGTTTGTATTTGTGTGGTATGTGTGTGTGGTATAGGGGGGGGGGGGGGGGGGAGTATTTGTGTGTGTGTTAGTGATGCGGGGTCAGCTGTTTGTTCACCTGCACTCAGTGTTGTGTATTCATGGATGCCAAGGGAAGCCAGGCTTCCCCAAATATTATATAAAATAATTTATATTTCGTCTCTCTCTGTGTTTTCATAATTTTCTGTCAATTCGCAAGTGGCTGAATCTCACCAGAGAAATCATCGGAGCGAGGGAAACAGCGCCCCTCTATCTCAGTATTTGTAGTCCATGTATCTGATGGTGTCTGGACCAAAAGAGTATAACATGTTGCCGCTGTAGCATTTGATTGATTGATGCCAACAAGCATTTGGCCTACCTTGATTAAAAAAAAAAATAATAATAATTAGCCCATCAGCGTTGAGCTGAGCTCAACTGTGGGTTGTCCTGGTGCAGCAAAAACATCCCCCAAGGGAGGCCAGTTTGGATTTGGCTTAACACAATGTCCAGCAGTAGCTAGCTTGCTAAATCAGACCTTACCTAAGCAGTGGAGATGGGGATTTGGACTTGTAGTTTTGACTTCATTTTCTGTACAGGCCAATGAATATGATAGCAATTCTGATCCAACCATAAATTAATATGTTGTACCACTGGCCTGAGACGATTGAAGTTCAATATGTAACCTAGATGTAGCCTGGTAGATTCACGTTAACTAGCTAGCTAACTTAGCTGGTTCATTGTTGTTCATGCGAAGAAGTTAGGCTAGCAAGCAAGCATTTTAGCTAGGTAGCCTATGACAACAACACTAAAAGTGTATTGTATGACAGAGCCATAGACTGTTTTGCCAACATGAAAGAGAGGAGAATGGCATTGGCGTTCAACTAGTCTACAAGGAGGGTGAGTCAACATGTTCTGTTTTACATGCGCGCGCACACACACAGAAATCAGCCACATGATATTTAGCAACGTTGATTGGACTAAATACTTTTTGGTATGTTTAAGTTTGTTTGCAGTGTATTAAACTAAGCATATATATATATATATATATATATATATAGCCTTGTTGATTTGATGATGTTGAAACGTTGAAATGGTGCTGGTATAGCGGAGGCAGTGCTCCTGTTGTCTGTGCTGACTTGTGGTAACTCCGTAGTTCTAAATCAGTAACGTTAGTTGTTTAGTAAACTGTCGAAAACATTAAATTGCTTGACCATGCTGCAGGTCATAACTATTTGTACATGCAATATTTGCTTTGTGGACTTTACCGGACAGATGTTGCTCTCCGGTTTTGTGATGAAACAAATGTATGTTTAGTTGAATTTGTTCCACCACTGTGTGACTGTCTTTTTGTTGTCACGGCCTTATTGTATATCACAGTGGTTTATGAACAAATGGTTATAGAGCAAACAACGCAATTATCACAACATACTGTAGGTTGTAATATGGCTTTTTTACTGGCTTGGCTTCCTCAGTAATTTTACCCACACACCGCTACTTCCCGCACCCAGTGTTGGCTGTTTTTGAATACGATGTCGCAGGTTTTTCAGCTATTTGTAAGTTGCACTGCGGCCGCCATGGCATTTCTCTTAAAAACATATATATGTGACCTGCTGTTGACTGTCAGGTAGGGAGGCAGGCTGTTGCTGAGTGAGTGGTGGAGAGCAGTGTTGCCAACTCCTCAGTAAGGAAAGTAGCTATTGGCTGTCCTAAAAGTCGCTAGAAGTCGCTACATGACGTCATCACCTAATTTGCATAATTGGCCATGAGCATGTAATTGTGATAGACGCTGTAGGAGAGAGGAATAACGTCGACGGAGAGACAAAAAGTGAGTAAAAAACACCCTACATTTACATCCTGCCCTGAATGTAAGCCAGGGCGGGTTCAGCCAGCAGTGGCTTCCCGCATGCGCGATTCATTTGCAGTCTGGACGCGGAGGGGTGAACATCTCCTGCTCTGATTGCAGCTGGGAGGGACTGCTGCGTGAGGACTGGGCCACCTGTGAGAGCTGTGGGATGGGGGTGGGGCCCACGGCGGGGGTGGGGCCCACGGCAGCACCCGCTGCTCGTTGAGAAGAGTAAGAACGATACGTGCTTTCACGTCAGAGTCTCCAAAAGTCTCCAATAACACCAGAAAAAGTTGCTAGATTTGTTTGTTTTTTTGAAAATGTGTCGCTAGAGGGGTCTGAAAACTCGCTAACTATAGCGAAAAAGTCGCTAAGTTGGCAACACTGGGAGAGGACCGGACGAGTGTGTGTGTTGAGAGAGCACTACAGTTATTGGCTGAGTCACGTGAGCGAGAGCAGCAAGTGCGCACGTTGTGACAACTTTTTACAAGTTGTAGGTAGGCTATTTAGATTCTCATTATGGAGACACCTATTTCCAAACCTTTTTCCATAAAACATATTAATAGAACTGATGCAAATCAAGAAATAATGCAGACAAAGCACTGGAAAACGACTTTGGGCGCACTAGAGCGCATTACATAAATCTGCTCTGAGGTGGTTTAAACTGCATTCTAATGTTGACTGTGGTCTAAGGCACTGCATCGCAGTGCTAGCTGTGCCACTAGAGATCCTGGTTCGAATCCAGGCTCTGTCGTAGCCAGCCGCGACCGGGAGACCCATGGGGCGGCGCACAATTGGCCCAGGGTAGGGGAGGGAATGGTCGGCAGGGATGTAGCTCAGTTGGTAGAGCATGGCATTTGCAACGCCAGGGTTGTGGGTTCGATTCCAGTATAAAAAATAAAAATGTATGCACTCACTAACTGTAAGTCGCTCAGGATAAGAGCGTCTGCTAAATGACTAAAATGTAAATGTAAATGACTGCTTAAAGAAAACGGTATCAAGCAAAATGCTTTATGCATGCTCAGTTCTTGGGTCTCGGGGGCTGCCCAAGTGGAAATGTTAAATGGAAGTTATGGAACTGCCTCGCGTGGTTCTTTTTATTGGGAAAAGTCCTCAATGAAACTGACATTAGGCTAAATGTGGAGAATTATACATTTGCCTCTGTTGGCCAACAAGTAGCCTATTAATGTATATGCCATTGTAGGCTACCATTTTATAGAATAAATATGTTGAAATGACGATATCACTTGAGTCATAGCAAATCAATTTGTGCCACTTGTGTAGCCTACCTGGAGCTGGCAAACTGATTTAATAAATAGCCTATAACTTCAGTTTATTGTTGTTGTAGCCTTGTGTTATTATGCAATTATTAATGGACATGTTTAGTTAATTAAATTGGAAGTTATCAAAGCTCTATCGCAATTGCAGGTCAGTTGTTAGAACGCATTAGATTGATGGTAACAGTAATCAAATTAGGCTACAGGTAAAAACTTTTTTTTTGAAATAAACACTTGCTGTTGTTGACAAGCATATTCAGTTCCTATACATATTAATAATATTTAATTCAGTGATTGAAATGATGACCACATCCTCAGTAGCCTATTCCAGCAGGCTATTGGGAAACACAAGCACTTCTTATTGCAAAATCGCTTTGCTATTCATGTTAAATAAATTAGTCTGTTAATTTGAACTAAGCAAGCTGCTAAATCGTTCGGTTTACTTCTTGCCTACATCTTGTCTAGGCTACTGTCGACTATATTACATGAGATGGAGGCCTATCAGTGGCTATAGGCTACCTGCCTTTAAGCAAACTATGACAAAATGTAATTGTGATTTTTGTCTGTAGCCTGTCTATTGAAATTACAAGTCAATCTCGCAAATGGGCCATTTAAAACAGTTTGTAATCTTAACATCTGGCACATAATAACAGCACAATTGCCAGAAAATCTATAGTTTTGCACATGCGCAAAGGGGATTTATTTACAATAATAAACCTGGTTCGAGCCCCGAATGCTAAATGGCTGAAAGATGTGTTATATCAGACCATATACCACGGGTATGACAAAACATTACTTGTTACTGTTCTAACTACGTTGGTAACCAGTTTATAATAGCAATAAGGCACCCTGGGGGTTTGTGGTATATGGCCAATATACCACGGCTAACAGCCGTGTTGCGTTGTGCTTAAGAACAGCCCTTATCTGTGGTATATTGGCCATATACGATACCCCCTTGTGCCTTATTGCTTAATCATAGCAGTCAAACAAGTTAAATCACCAGCCATTGATGGAAAATGATCTGGCGAGTTTAATAAGGGCGAATTATCTTTTCTCTTGCTACATATTCAAATTCCTTTATTATGTCATGTCATAGCTTGCGATAATTATTATTTTGAGGAAACCCGAATTTTGCTTCTAACGTCGTTACAAGTTACTATGATATTCCTTCTTAATTGGCTTGATAACGTTATGAAAAAAGGGTTTATTTTATAGATATGGCAACTCCTGTCTTGCTGTGAAAGAAAATCTGGCCTAGTTTTCAGGCCTTTTGGGCGGGTTATGAGTGGTCATTGGGCTAGAAATTTTAGTTTGACCTGGCAACCCTGCCGCACCCGACCCTAACCCGAAAATATAGAAAATACCCAGTACAGTCAGAGATGACGGAACTATTTTTGACAGGTCTTTTTAGATAGGCCTATGTTTCTGCTTGTAATTTCCGACATTTTTGTAGGCTATTTGTTAGGCAACTTGTCTATAATTAAATACATGCAGCTTCTCTTCTGTCATTACTTGTTGCCTTAGTCTAAATAAACCATCGCTCACCAGAATTATGTCATAAATCGATAAAATGAATGGTTCAATTTAGTTGACATCTGTAAAGTTAGTTTCTCTTGCCTCTTTCATCTCTGCTTCTCTCGCTCAGCAAAGACGTTTAGGGACCGAGGAGAGAATGCAATAGGCTAACAAAAAAAAAACTGGAAAGATATTTCCATGCAACATTTTGACCTGTTTTAAGGAAATTAAAAGCTGTTAAAACAACCCAACATGTTTTTGATAAGATTTAAGTTCGGCTTGGATGCATTGTGGTTGAAATACTATCACATTTTATGAGGCTGATAAAGATAGCACCATTACAGACGGTCCTTATCGCGCATTCATTCTCTCAAGGTGCTGAAATAAATAAATAATATTTCTCCACTCAGTACAGTTCCCTTGAAGTGCCATATTGAAGTATAGTTGACTATTGAATTTGTATAGCGCCTCACAATCATCACACATAACATAACTGCTATCATCCTCTTTTACCACTTCACCAAATCTTTCCCAAACATTAGACTACTGTTCTGGCCCTCCCTTCTCTTTATTTTCAACTCTCCATTTCGCAGCTTTTCTCTAACATGCTGACCACATCGCAAAATAGCGTTGCAAAATAAATGGACACATACATGTTATTCAATCATTGCACCCACACTGCTCGCGAGCGTCTGCGTAGCCAGGCGCTAAAATAGAACTTGGCTCTATTTGTGACGCTTGACACGCTGCAAGTCCCGCCTCTCCCATCTCCTCATTGGTTTTTAGGAGCATATACTCACGTGGGTGATTGAAAGATGAACTGAGGTCCACACTCCAGTCCAGTTGGTGGTGGTAATGCACCTTAAAGTTGGTTGCCAACCACCATATAAAGTCAGAAGAAGAAGCCTGAAGGAGGAGAGATTACTATTAATGAACTCGGTTTACCCTTTTATCTGTGGATTAATTGTCGGAGTAGAGGACCTTGTGCATTTCAGGTAAAATAACAACCCAATGTTTATATCCCAGGACACATTAGCTAGCAACAGCAAGCTAGCTAGCTAAATTGCCATAAATGTTTAATGCTTTTCGACCTGTCCCCAAATTAATATAGTTGATTCAGAGTTCGTTTTGATATTTCAACCTGCGTGTCCTGAACGCTTCTTGTGTGGGTGGACAAACTCAACATGCGCGCGATGGCGTGTCAGCATGTAAGGTCTAGCAAACCTACCGGTTCCAAGTAGAAAAAGCATCTACTTTATTTTTCCCGATATAACAGCATTCCATGCACTGTAATTTACAACTTGATAAGAGCTAGGTAAATTAGTAATCTGTTTGGATAAGGGAATTGTAAATATAAATAACACTTGTTTTAGACAATTTTTCCTTATGATCCCTGGAGACGAATATGAAACTAGTCATATGGAAGCAAACTGAAAATCATATCACACATGACATGTATTGCAGCCCCTTTTCCACAGTGATGTAGGCTCCCAAGTGGCGCAGCGGTCTAAGGCACTGCATCTCAGTGCTTGAGGCGTCACTACAGACCCTGGTTCGATTCCAGACTGTATCACAACCGGCCGTGATTGGGAGTCCCATAGGGCGGCGTTTAATTGGCCCAGCGTCGTCCGGGTTTGGCCGGTGTAGGCCGTCATTGTAAATAAGAATTTGTTCTTAACTGTCTTGCCTAGTTAAATAAAGGTAAAATAAAAAAATTAAAATAGCTGTGACGTTATTCCACATTTTTATTGTGTGCCCCGTGTAGCTCAGTTGGTAGAGCATGGCGTTTGCAACGCCAGGGTTGTGGGTTCGATTCCCATGGGGGGCCAGTATGAAAAATGTATGCACTCACTAACTGTAAGTCACTCTGGATAAGAGCGTCTGCTAAATTACGTAAATGTAAATGTAAATAAATTGCGTGGATAATATTTTTAGACCCAAGCTATAGTCTTCTGTAGGGCCGAACCTGCAGAGTTAATGTAAGCGCTTTAGAATGTTTTATTTGACCATTTGTATAATGTTAAATATTAGCCACTATTGGGAGCCACTGTCAGTAATACCCAAATACATTTCTAACTGTCACTTTAATGTTAGTTGTCTTCAATTTGTAGCCTACATTTTGCATCATTCCATTCCATTTTGTTTACCTTTCTTTCCTTTGTCACGTCCATGTAGTTGTTGCTGAGGGTCGCTAGCATTAGTTGTGCAATAATTTTGGACATGTAGCCTATTTGAATCATTATAAAACTCAGAACACACATAGTAGTTTGAACCTGCTACCTGGCGCAAGGTTCTGTAGCGGGTGATTTAGGACTGAGTCAGGCGCAGGAGAGTAAATCACAGAATAAATGGTTTATTCGATAAACAGCGGTACGCAGCAATGCGTAATACACACCAGTGCGGTAAAACGGCGCACTGGGGAAAACAAGGCACACGGGTGAATATCCCAGCCATACACAATATAATCTAGCTCCACCGAGCTATAATATCCTCTACAATAAACAATCACACACAAAGACAAGGGGGCAAAGGGAACACTTATACAGGTACTAATGAGTGGATATGAACCAGGTATAATAGGTGTAATAAACAAAACAAAACAAAACAAATGGAATGATGAGATGAGGAGCGGCAGTGGCCAGAAGGCCGGTGACGACGAACGCCGAAGCCTGCCCGAACAAGGAGAGGAGGAAGCTTCGGAGGAAATCGTGACAGGTTCACAACGACTGGACCGTTGTCATACAGTTCCATGATTAGTGAGGATAAGGGTAGATTTATAGGACTATTTTATTGTACACTTTTTTCGACCTTGCAATATTTCATCGATTGAACTTCCAAGATGGCATAGCTGTGCGGTCGTGTTTTCTGTAGTGTCCTCATGTAAATAGCCTGTTTTTTTTTTTTTTGTCTTTTTCGTATATATTTCTCAATCTCACTTTCCATCCATTAACTAAATATACTTTCCTGCAACCCGCCTCACCCAATGTGGAACGGATTCTGTTGTTTCTTCATACATTTTTATCCAGAACCTCTGGCTGAAACTAGCCAGCTAACTAGCTACTTGCTATTAGCCACCGTTAGCGGTCTTCACCATTGTCCGTGACCGTGGCCTGCACTACCTACCAGCCAGCTCTAGCCTGGACAATTGTCGGCCAGTCTGCACATCGCGCTATCGAGCCAGAGCATATCGGATTTTCTGCCGGAATCACTGAATCACTGGACCTTAACACCGGATCATTGCAACTAGCTAGCTGCAACCGAATGGCTGTTGTCGTTGTTGGCTAATCACCACTGTCCTGAAGCTAACCCCAGCTAACCTTGAGCTAGCCTCGAGCCAGGCCCATCTCCCGGCTATCTACCTCTCTGTCAACCGGACGGGACCTCCTGGTGTTGACACGGAGCCCCGCCGATCCATCACGACTGGTCTGCCGACGTAATCGTCTGATGTGGTTTCAACAGGCTTCCCGTTGCGACGACCACGACGATCCATCTGCTAGCCCCGGCCCGCTAGCACACGCAATCAACAGCCATGCCTCCAGCTCGCCTGTAACGTAGCAGCCACTGAACTGCTCCCGGACTTACTTATTGCTGTTCACTGGACCTTATGATCACTCAGCTACACAGCTGATGCCTGCTGGACTGTTCCTTTATACGGTACCCCATCCTGTTTAGCCTCAGCTCAAACTTTCATCGCCATTACCAGCTGTTGTCTTAGCTCTCTCGAATAGCACCTGTGACTGTTTTATGCCGCTCTCCCATGTCAATATGCCTTGCCTATTGCTGTTTCGGTTAGTTCTAACTGTACTTGTTCAATGTAGAGCCCCCAGTCCTGCTCAACCTGTCTCAGATAGCTCCTTTGTCCCACCCCCCACACACGCGGAGACCGGCTCAATCGGTGCCTCCAGTGATGCTATCTCTTTCATCTTTACCCAACGCTTAGGTTTACCTCCACTGTCCTCATATCCTTCCATATCCTTGTCTGTACATAATGCCCTGAATCTATTCTACAACGCCCGGAAATCTGCCCCTTTTTTTCTCTGTACCCAACGCACTAGAAGACCGGTTCTTAAAGCCTTTAGCCGTATCCTTATTCTACTCCTCCTCTGTTCCTCTGGTGATGTAGAGGTTAACCCAGGCCCTGTAGCCACCAGTATCACTCCTGCTCCCCAGGCGCTATTATTTGTTGACTTCTGTAACCACAAAAGCCTTGGTTTCTTGCATGTTAACATCAGAAGCCTCCTCCCTAAGTTTGAGTTATTCACTGCGTTAGCACACTCCGCCAACCCTGATGTTCTAGCAGTGTCTGAATCCTGGCTTAGGAAGGCCACCAAAGATTCTGAAATTTCCATTCCCAACTACAACATTTTCCGTCTAGATAGAACTGCCAAAGGGTGCGGAGTTGCAATCTACTGTAGAGATAGCCTGCAGAGCTCTATCATACTATCCCGGTCTGTGCCGAAACAGTTTGAGCTTCTACTTCTAAAAATCTATTGTGTTATTGACTGTACGTTTTGTTTATTCCATATGTAACTCTGTGTTGTTGTTTTTACCGCACTGCTTTGCTTTATCTTGGCCAGGTCGCAGTTGTAAATGAGAACTTGTTCTCAACTGGCTTACCTGGTTAAATAAAGGTTAAATAAAAAAAGAAAAAAAAGAACTTGAATATGACAACTTTCGGGATGAATCAATACGTTGTATTTTTGATTCATTATTATATTTTGTGCATAAAATCTCTCAAACAACGTTACGCACCTTAGTAAGGTAAGTCTGAATATCAACTAGTGAGAAGTGCGTAGGAAAGGCCTGCATAAGAAAGGCTTAAATGTCCTAAGACTGAATCTAGCCCTTATTGAATTAAACTCTGACATTGTCCTTTTTACCTCAGTGGATGGAAGTTAACTTTTTCTGCCCAAGTTCCCGAAAGCATTTGGCAGTTGGTGGTTATTTGCCACGTGACAGTTAGGCCTTTAAGCTTAGGTTTAGGCTACACACTAATGCCAGATAAAACATAATGAAAGACCAACCTCCATGTAGCCTATAGATATGAATTGCACAATACTTATACATTTATGAATTTTTAATGCATTGTTTTCTCTTTATTCAACCCATACAATATTGAATGGCCCTAAACCCGCCCACCGCGCAGTATCCGCGGGACTGCAGGTTATGAGTCAGCCCGTGCATTTGTGTGTATATATTTGTGTTTGTATTTCTGTGGTATGTCTGTGTGTGTGTGTGCCTGGTGAGACTATAACCCCATGTGTTATTATCTCTTAGGGAGGTTTGTAGTTGTTGTTGTTGTTTGTGGTGATGTTAGTCATGCCAGCATAGAGGAAGAGGAATGTGGCAGGTTTCCTATTTCACCCCTGACTAACAGCAAACTCATTCAACGACGTGATACACATTCTGTTTCCAGAAACAAATCTCTAGTTCCTCTAATAAAAGCAGAGATGTGTATCCTTAGGATACAGCACCCTAGTGTTTTTTTTACTGCTTGATCGGGGCATATCGAGATGATGTGCTTTAATTGCTTACAAGTTCTCTTGTTGCATTCATCACAGAAATAATTTTTAAAAACATATGTGAAACCCAGAGACATCCAGCTGCCAGTAAGCTCTGTTGAAGGGATGTCAGTAGTTAAAGGGAGTATGATGGGGATTTTAAGAATGATTTATTCTTTCAATGGGTGTAGTCTTCCTTTCCTCTTGTGTGATGACATGAGAAAAAGGTGAAAAGGTTGACAGTTGCTGGACACCACATTGAGAAAGAAGAATGGTTAGTTACATGAACACAAGGCCTGATTGCCTGCTTCACAGGCTTCTCCTCATGTGTTCTCCTAAAGTTGGTATCCTCATCCTCTATAGTAAGTGATACAGTCCAGGTTGGCGGTTAGGATCAGTTACACATACTACACTATGTTGTTTCTGGAGTCCCCACATAGCATGCAGTGTTTTAGAATGTCCTAATGTTGTGATGCTTTGTTTAAGGTAGTCAGGCATATACTGTACCCTCACATGTCAAAATGATCTTCTTGAAGGTTCCGGAGCGTACAACATCCAAATTCTATTGCAAAGAGCTGATGAGTCATCACCGGACTGGGTCGAGGTACGTTTGTCACCACATCACACATCAGTCAGTCTCAGTGAGCAGTACTACCAGTTACAGGGTGGATGATCCATAGTCAGCTTTGACCGGCCCCATCTGCCTAGGACCTCACTTCCACTGGCACTCTATCAGATATCTCTGAGACACCATTTGAAGTATAAAGCATGGCATTGTATGTGTGCCTGATCCTTGTCATCTGCCTCTCTCTCTTTCTTTCTCTCTCTTTTCTCTTTCTCTCTCTCCCTCTCTCTCTCTCTCTCTTTCTCTCTCTTCTCTCTTTTTCTCTTCTCTCTCTCACTTTATCTCTCTCACTTTCTCTCTCTCTCCCCCTCTCTCTCTCTGCTGTCCAGTGGGGCCCCTCAGTCTCCAGTGGAGAAGGGAGGGAAGTCCATGTCATCTCATGGCAGCTCCAGTAGCAGCTCCCAGTCAGGTCTGTGTCCTCGTGTCCTCCACAATCTCTCTCTCTCTCTCTCTCTCTCTCTTCTCTCTCTGTCTCCCCCGTCCCTTCCCCGTTTTCCTGTCTTCCCCTGTTCGGTCGGGGGTTGTTTGGTTCTCTCTCTCTTCTCTCTCTCTCCCCCTCTCCCCCTTCTCTCTTCTCTCCCTTTTCCCCAAATTCCCTCCTCTTCCTCTCTTCCCCCTTTTCTCCCCTCTCTCTCTCTCTCCTCTCTTCTCCCTTCTCCCCCTTTTCTCTCTCTCACCCCATCTCTCTCTCTTTTTCTCTCATCTTCTTCTCCGTCTCCCCTCTCCCCCCTTTTTCTCTCTCTCTCTCTCCCTAAACCCACTCACTAAAGGGTTGACATAGCAAAACATCCCCATTCAAAAGTTTGGCCCCAAAACCTTTTCCCTTAAAGGGGTTTTTTGGGTACTTTTTTTTAAACATTGTAGAATAATGGGAAAGACATATAAACTAGAAAAAAACACAAAAGGGAATAATGTAAAACCCAAAAAGTCTTAAAAAAAAATCAAAATTATTTAAATTTTGAAATTTTTCCCAAATAGCCACCCCTTTGCCTTGATGACATCTTTGCACACTCTTGGCATTCTCTCAACCAGCTTCATGAGGTAGTCACCTGGAATGCATTTCAATTAACAGGTGTGCCTTAAAAGTTAATTTGTGGAATTTCTCTCCTTATTAATGCGTTTGAGCCAATCAGTTGTGTTGTGACAAGGTAGGGGGGGTATACAGAAGATAGCCCTATTTGGTAAAAGACCAAGTCCATATTATGGCAAGAACAGCTCAAATAAGCAAAGAGAACAACAGTCCATCATTACTTTAAGACATTAAGGTCAATTTCAAGAACTTTAAAGTTGCATCAAGTGCAGTCGCAAAAACCATCAAGCGCTATGATGAAACTGGCTCTCATGAGGACCGCCACAGGAATGGAAGACCCAGAGTTACCTCTGCTGCAGAGGGTAAGTTAATTAGAGTTACCAGCCTCAGAAATTGTAGCCCAAAAAATGCTTCACAGAGTCCAAGTCACAGACACATCTCAACATCAACTGCTCAGAGGAGACTGTGTGAATCAGGCCTTCGTGGTCGAATTGCTGTAAAGAAACCACTACTAAAGGACACCAATAAGAAGAAGAGACTTGCTTGGGCCAAGAAACACGAGCAATGGACATTAGACCGGTGGAAATGTGTCCTTTGGTCTGGAGTCCAAATTTGAGATTTTTGGTTACAACTGCCGTGGCTTTGTGAGACACGGTGTGGGTAAGCGGATGATCTCCGCATGTGTATTTCCCACTGTAAAGCCTGGTGGAGGAGGTGTTATGGTGTGGGGGTGCTTTGCTGGTGACACTGTCTGGGATTTATTTAGAATTCAAGGCACACTTAACCAGCATGGCTACCACAGCATTCTGCAGCGATACGCCATCCCATCTGGTTTGCGCTTAGTGGGACTATAATTTGTTTTTCAACAGGACAATGACCCAACACACCCTCCAGGCTGTGTAAGGCAACTTTAACCAAGAAGGAGAGTGATGGAGTGCTGCATCAGATGAACTGGCCTCCACAATCCTCCGACCTCAACCCAATTGAGATGATTTGGGATGAGTTGGACCGCAGAGTGAAGGAAAAGCGGCCAACAAATGCTCAGCATATGTGGGAACTCCTTCAAGACTGTGGAAAAGCATTCCAGGTGAAGCTGGTTGAGAGAATGCCAAGAGTGTGCAAAGCTGTCATCAAGGCAAAGGGTGGCTATTTGAAGAATCCTCAAATATAAAACACTTTTTTGGTTACTACATGATTCCATATGGTGTTATTTCATAGTTTTTGATGTCTTCAACTATTATTCTACAATGTAGAAAATAGTCAACATAAAGAAAAAACCCTTGAATGAATAGGTGGTGTCCAAACTTTTGGACTGGTACTGTGGGGCAAAAAATTATTTTTTGTCAGCCACCAATTGTGCAAGTTCTCCCACTTAAAAGATGAGAGAGGCCTGTAATTTTCATTATAGGTACAAACCGTCAACTATGACAGACAAATTGGAGGAAAAAAAATCCAGAAAATCCCATTGTAGGATTTTTTATGAATTTATTTGCAAATTAATGGTGGAAAATAAGTATTTGGTCACCTACAAACAAGCAAGATTTCTGGCTCTCACAGACCTGTAACTTCTTCTTTAAGAGGCTCCTCTGTCCTCCACCCGTTACCTGTATTAATGGCACCTGTTTGAACTTGTTATCAGTATAAAAGACACCTGTCCACAACCTCAAACAGTCACACTCCAAACTCCACTAGGCCAAAACCCCAAAAAGGGTGTCCAAAAGGCCCCCAAAACAAAAAATTGGGAGACCCGCACCCGGCTGGGGAAAACCCGAAAACGGGAGGGAGCCCTTTGGGTTTTAAGAAATCAACGTGGGACAATTTTAGGAAAAAGGGAAAAACATACCCAAAACCCCTAAATCTCCCCATCTTTGGGGTCCCCCAAAATCTTTCCCCCCTTTTTGGGCCCAAAAGAAACACAAAAACGGGGACAAAAATCCCCAAAACCCCACGGGGGACCTAGTGAAAACCTACCCAGACTGGACCAAGTACCAAAAACCCACCCCAGTAAAACACTCCCCCGCCAGGGACCCCAAAACCTGCATTTCCAACGGTCCCCCTGCTTAAACCAGTACCAAATGTCCGGCCCCCTGAAGTTTTGCTAAGTGCATTTGGATGAATCCAGAAGAGGATTGGGAGAATGTCATATGGTCCATGAAACCAAAATAGAACTTTTGGTTAAAAACTCAACTTGTCGTGTTTGGAGGACAAAGAATGCTGAGTTGCATCCAAAGAACACCATACCTACTGTGAAGCATGGGGGTGGAAACATCATGCTTTGGGGCTGTTTTTCTGCAAAGGGACCAGGACGACTGATCCGTGTAAAGGATAGAATGAATGGGGCCTGTGTCGTGAAGATTTTGAGTGAAAACCCCTCCTTCCATCAGCAAGGTTATTGAAGATGAAACGTGGCTGGGTCTTTCATTTTACATTACATTTTAGTCATTTAGCAGACGCTCTTATCCAGAGCGACTTACATGAGCAATTAGGGTGAAGTGCCTTGCTCAAGGGCACATCGACAGATTCTTCACCTAGTCGGCTCTGGGGATTAGAACCAGCGACCTTTCGGTTACTGGCATAACGCTCTTAACCACTAAGTTACCTGCCCGGGCAACGAAGGAGTGGCTTCGTAAGAAGCATTTCAAGGTCCTGGAGTGGCCTAGCCAGTCTCCAGATCTCAACCCCATAGAAAATCTTTGGAGGGAGTTGAAAGTCCATGTTGCCCAGCGACAGCCCCAAAACATCACTGCTCTAGAGGAGATCTGCATGGAGGAATGGGCCAAAATACCAGCAACAGTGTGTGAAAACCTTGTGAAGACTTACAGAAAACGTTTGACCTGTGTCATTGCCAACAAAGGGTATATAACAAAGTATTGAGAAACTTTTGTTATTGACCAAATACTTATTTTCCACCATAATTTGCAAATAAATTCATAAAAAATCCTACAATGTGATTTTCTGGATTTTTATTTCTCATTTTGTCTGTCATAGTTGACGTGTACCTATGATGAAAATTACAAGGCCTCTCTCATCTTTTTAATTGGGAGAACTTGCACAATTGGTGGCTGACTAAATACTTTTTTTCCCCACTGTATATATATATATATATATATATATATATATATATATATATATAATATATACTAACCGTTCAAAAGTTTGGGGTCACTTAGAAATGTCCTTGTTTTCGAAAGAAAAGCAATTTTTTTGTCCATTAAAATAACATCAAAGTGATCATAAATACAGTGAAGACATTGTTAAAGTTGTAAATGGCTATTGTAGCTGGAAACAGCTGTTTTTTTAATGGAATATCGACATAGGCGTACAGAGGCCCATTATCAGCAACCATCAGTCCTGTGTTCCAATGGCACGTTGTGTTTGCTAATCCAAGTTTATAATTTTAAAAGGCTAATTGATCATTAGAAAATCCTTTTGCAATTATGTTAGCACAGCTGAAAACTGTTGTGCTGATTAAAGATGCAATAAAACTGGACTTCTTGAGACTAGTTGAGTATCTGGAGCATCAGCAATTGTGGGATCGATTACAGGCTCAAAATGACCAGAAACAAATAACTTTCTTCTGAAACTTGTCGGTCTATTCTTGCTCTGAGAAATGAAGGCTATTCCATGCGAGAAATTGCCAAGAAACTGAAGATCTCGTACAACGTTATGTACTACTCCCTTCACAGAACAGCACAAACTGGTTCTAACCAGAATAGAAAGAGGAGTGGGAGGCCCCGGTGCACAACTGAGCAAGAGGACAAATACATTAGAGTGTCTAGTTTGAGAAACAGACGCCTCACAGGTCCTCCACTGGTAGCTTCGTTAAATAGTACCCACAAAACACCAGTCTCAACGTCAACAGTGTAGAGGCGACTCCGGGATGCTGACCTTCTAGGCAGAGTTGCAAAGAAAAAGCCATATCTCAGACTGGCCAATAAAAATAAAAGATTAGGATGGGCAGTCTGAGATATGGCTTTTTCTTTGCAACTCTGCCTAGAAGGTCAGCATCCCAGAGTCGCCTCTTTACTGTTGACGTTGAGACTGGTGTTTTGCCTATGTAGATATTCCATTACAAATCAGCCGTTTCCAGCTACATTTACAACATTAACAATGTCTACACTGTATTTCTGATCAATTTTATGTTATTTTAAAGGACAAAAAATGTACCTTTCGAAAACAAGGACATTTCTAAGTGACCCCAAACTTTTGAACGGTAGTGTATATAAACTCAGCAAAAAAAGAAACGTCCCTTTTTCAGGACTGCCTTTTGGATAGAAAGAAAGAAAGAAAGAAAGAAAGAAAGAAAGAAAGAAAGAAAGAAAGAAAGAAAGAAAGAAAGAAGAAAGAAAAAGAAAGAAAGAAAGAAAGAAAGAAAGAAAGAAAGAAAGAAAGAAAGAAAGAAAGACTGGGTAATATGTTCAAAGTTCCCCTTTTTCACAATTGGTTGTCTGAGGAATTTTAAGAAAGCAGTTCAGGAATATGGGAAATAAATGTGCTAACATGTCTTTGTTTAAATGCCAAAGGAATCCTATACTGTACATGAAGTTGGAGCAGTAGCTCAAATAGAGAAATGATAATGAATTTGACATTTATATTCCTTTACAAGTTCATAACATTGTAGCTTTCAGGAAGTAAGCCAGAGGAAAAACAAGGAAGCCCTTACAATATATCCTGATGCTCATCATATTAACGGAGCATACTGAGGTCTTGGGGCAACTGAAAACTTTAATCCGTAACATAGTATCTACAGTATCTGTATGGCTCTGGTAATATTTAGCATGAGTGTACAACATAGTTAGATGGGAGATTTGAGATTTGAAGCATGTCTTTTGACTCTTTCAGGTTACTTCAAGCTGGAGAGCCCTCTGCTGCAGAGCCGTCTTCAGCAGTACAAGAAGTCTAAGGAGATTTCTCCAGGAGCCCTACTTCAGCAACATGTAAGTATCTGTCTTCTGTCACCATCCTAGCATCTAGAACACTATTCCACATCTATTACACGTCAGATTTATAATGTCGTTTTCAGCCATGATTATCATAATTGTTGTCGTTGGGACAAGTTGTTATTTTCTTTATTGGATCCCGTTGTCCTGTGGTTCTGGAAAATACCTGCATCTGTACACATTACAACTTGGACACCGAGCTTGAAGGTCATCATGTTGGTCTCGTCTCAACGTTTCTCAGATGTCGGTTACTGTTGTTTGTGACTGTCTGTTTTGAAAAACAAAACCATAAGAAACTGACCATTCCGATTAGCTCTGGATGTGAATGTGGAGAATCCGTATGACCATCTCTCACATCTGTTTTTGCTTTCATTTAAAAAAAAGAATGCTGGAATTCCTCCCCTGGCTCATCTTTATGGCTAAATAGTGTATCATTCCTGCTTATCCGTTCTAAACCAAATATTGCATGTTATGACTAGGCCTAATAATTTGAGATTAGAGGTACAGTATGCCATTCCGAGAAGGAATGCCAGTTAAGATTCCGGTCATTCCGACGGGAAGCAGAGGACAAGGCAACAGATGGGAGTCCTGTCCTGTCTGATTCCCTCCAGAGGACACACAGTGTCATTGTGTTTTATTCAATAATATTTAGCTGGTTGTCATGTTCTATCTCTGATGTCTGGTGTTCTATCCCTGATGTCGGGTGTTCTATCCCTGATGTCTGGTGTTCTATCCCTGATGTCTGGTGTTCTGTCCCTGATGTCTGGTGTTCTGTCCCTGATGTCTGGTGTTCTGTCCCTGATATCTGGTGTTCTATCCCTGATGTCTGGTGTTCTATCCCTGATGTCTGGTGTTCTGTCCCTGATGTCTGGTGTTCTGTCCCTGATGTCTGGTGTTCTGTCCCTGATATCTGGTGTTCTATCCCTGATGTCTGGTGTTCTGTCCCTGATGTCTGGTGTTCTGTCCCTGATGTCGGGTGTTCTGTCCCTGATGTCTGGTGTTCTATCCCTGATGTCTGGTGTTCTGTCCCTGATGTCTGGTGTTCTGTCCCTGATGTCTGGTGTTCTGTCCCTGATATCTGGTGTTCTATCCCTGATATCTGGTGTTCTGTCCCTGATGTCTGGTGTTCTATCCCTGATGTCTGGTGTTCTGTCCCTGATGTCTGGTGTTCTGTCCCTGATGTCTGGTGTTTTATCCCTGATGTCTGGTGTTCTGTCCCTGATGTCTGGTGTTCTGTCCCTGATGTCTGGTGTTCTGTCCCTGATGTCTGGTGTTCTGTCCCTGATGTCTGGTGTTCTGTCCCTGATGTCTGGTGTTCTGTCCCTGATGTCTGGTGTTCTGTCCCTGATGTCTGGTGTTCTGTCCCTGATGTCTGGTGTTCTATCCCTGATATCTGGTGTTCTATCCCTGATGTCTGGTGTTCTGTCCCTGATATCTGGTGTTCTATCCCTGATATCTGGTGTTCTGTCCCTGATGTCTGGTGTTCTGTCCCTGATGTCTGGTGTTTTATCTCTGATGTGATTATCTGTGTTTCTCTCAGGGTTTCGGCCACTTCTCTGGGCTTAAGTCCAATCTCAGTCCGTTTGTCAAGGCAACAGAGTACTCCTCTTCTAGCGATGAAGTTGGGAGTAGTGATGACGATGAGAAAACCAGGTGGGTTCACCTTGATTGATTTATTGATTGATTTTATTTGATCATTTAAAAAAACATATTGAGCCAAAAAACGAGAGCATTATCCAGTAAAACCCTCCTCTCAGACTGCTGTTGTCTGTGTTTCTCCAGGTCTCCGTTGAGTAATGGGAAAGGCAAGTTCTTCCGAGGAGCCCCTGATGGGATAGTCCTGCAGCCCCACCATAATCTCAAACAGACCCCGGTATACATACACACCTCAACCATACACTACAACCTCTTTGGAACATCTTGGAGTGAAAAAGTACACTCACAGCTGCTTCCTTACCAACACAGCTCACTAGTCACTGATATTAATTCTGTACTTGATGAAAAGTCAGACCAAATCCTCTTCAAACTCTTAACATTGAATGGAATGATGTTCTGTGCTTTTTATGGATAGTATAGTCAGAAATCAGATGAATAGTCTGTCGATTCAGGTTCATACTACAGAGTCAGCTTCATTACATCAGAGTAATGGGTTGCTTAAAGGGAAAATCCACTCAAAAACTATGTTAGTATTTTTTTCATTAGTCCACTGTTGATACAGTCCCAAAATGTTTTGCATTTCTGTAGTCAAGTTTTCAAGACATTGGGCTTTCATGAAGTAAAGAGTCACCGGCCACATCATCATGGTTTCCCTGAACTCTGCTGATTTGTAAAGTGGGTCATAGTCAGAGTTCAGACAGTTCAGATGCAGCCAGTGTGAAATCTCATTACTTGCTCACACAGGCAGCAGCATGCATCAGACTTGGCAGGGCTGCCGTCAACATCAATATACTATCAGTCTGTTGTGTCCAAAATGGCATCGTACTCCCTGGCCTGTATAGTACACTACTTTTGACCAGAGTGCTTTGGGCCCTGGTCAAAGGTAGTGCGCTAAATAGGGAATAGGGTGCCATTTGGGATGCATCCAGAGCCACTTGAGCTCAGGCGTGTCACCGGTCCCGTGTGGGTCATTTTCATGACAAACACTAGAGGGACTTTGTGCATACTAACTAACACATGGTGCGGATGCTACTAACTAATACAGATGTAGGATCTTAATTTGATCACCATGTTGCAGGAGAACTTTCCTGCAATGCAGGACATTTAAAACTTGTAGTGTATTTATGTCCATTAATTATAATCCACATAATAATTTACATTTCCTGTTGCTGCAGGATTATTTTACTGCTGTAGTAAACTGGCTCAGATTAAGATCCTCGATCTGTACATGGAGCAGAGCAGAGCCCAGCTCCCTCAGAGCCTTCTCTACCTCCAGTAATGATGCTGCTCTCCCACAGGACCTCAGAGCCTCCTCCACCTCCAGTAATGATGCTGCTCTCCCACAGCCCCCTCAGAGCCTCATCTACCTCCAGTAATGATGCTGCTCTCCCACAGCTCCCTCAGAGCCTCCTTTACCTCCAGTAATGATGCTGCTCTCCCACAGCCCCCTCAGAGCCTCCTCTACCTCCAGTAATGATGCTGCTCTCCCACAGCCCCCTCAGAGCCTCCTCCACCTCCAGTAATGATGCTGCTCTCCCATAGCCCCCTCAGAGCCTCCTCTACCTCCAGTAATTATGCTGCTCTCCCACAGCCCCCTCAGAGCCTCCTCCACCTCCAGTAATGATGCTGCTCTTCCACAGCTCCCTCAGAGCCTCCTATACCTCCAGTGATGAATGCAATGCCACTTGGCATGGTGTAAGCAGGGCTTGATATCCTTGTTTAACTCTCCCACTTCACTTTAAACAATTCCTTGGCTGTCATTGGACACTTAGTGTCATGGAAACCCATACAATGCCTCCCTGCCATATGACAGTGTTTGTAGATGCTGCTATTGTTCCTCCACAAAGTGCTGCTGTGACACAGTAAATACAGAGTTACATGACTCGTGTCAGACAGGCAGGCAAGCAATAGTAACAAGGCATTATACTGCAGTTTGCTGTACTGTGTGTATCTTCTCTTAGCAGAGCAGCGTGGCATCAGGCCTTAAGAGTGGCCAGTCGCTACACAGGCCCATGGCTGTAGGATCAGAATGCAATGAGAATTACCTTCTCCCTGATCTCCTGCAGAAGAGCCCGGCCCATGAGCCCCTGGCGCAGCACGGCCCGCATGACGTCATCTACCCCCAGTCTCTGAGCAGACGAGGACCACATTCTGACGTGAGTTCACATGTAGCTATAAACTCTCTGTAGGCTGAATGTCTAGTTACAGTAGGCTATGACTTCTCCGGAAGGTCATAGAATGTTTAAGAGTAATACTTTATAGACTGCAGTGGTTTGGATCAATGGGTTTTTATTTGATGTGAATGTGTCTTTCTCCACTAGGGGGAGGTGACGTAGCTGTTTTAGACGTGCAATTCCATCTCAAGATTGATATCAAACCTACTGGAAATCTGAGATTTGTTGTTGTTGATGTTGTTTTTTTATATGAATTCTGATTTTGGATGCATTTGCAGAAGCCTGTAAACAGTCCTCCAGGGAAAAGCATCTTGTCCTCCTCCTTCACTCCCTTCATCGACCCCAGGCTGCTGCAGATCTCTCCCCCTCAGAGCCCAGTGGGCCACAGTCCCAGTGAGTGCCAACAGACACCCATACATACACACACACACAATCACACACAATGGTACACGCACACAAACACACACCACGCTACATAGGAAATGCCCCTCAGACATTCTAGTAAATCACTGCTAGGCTAGTCTCTAAACTGCATTTATTTTATTCTTTTACAGGGAAGACATATTGAGACCTAGGTCTATTTTACAGGGAAGACATATTGAGACCTAGGTCTATTTTACAGGGAAGACATATTGAGACCTAGGTCTATTTTACAGGGAAGACATATTGAGACCTAGGTCTATTTTACAGGGAAGACATATTGAGACCTAGGTCTATTTTACAGGGAAGACATATTGAGACCTAGGTCTATTTTACAGGGAAGACATATTGAGACCTAGGTCTATTTTACAGGGAAGACATATTGAGACCTAGGTCTATTTTACAGGGAAGACATATTGAGACCTAGGTCTATTTTACAGGGAAGACATATTGAGACCTAGGTCTATTTTACAGGGAAGACATATTGAGACCTAGGTCTATTTTACAGGGAAGACATATTGAGACCTAGGTCTATTTTACAGGGAAGACATATTGAGACCTAGGTCTATTTTACAGGGAAGACATATTGAGACCTAGGTCTATTTTACAGGGAAGACATATTGAGACCTAGGTCTATTTTACAGGGAAGACATATTGAGACCTAGGTCTATTTTACAGGGAAGACATATTGAGACCTAGGTCTTTTTACAGGGAAGACATATTGAGACCTAGGTCTATTTTACAAATGCGCCCTGTATATGCAGCATAAATATACAC